AGGTTTGTGGATAGCAGAGATTTCATTATCATACTAGGCAACAGAAGTTCCAAGGTTCTGGAGAAGTAGCTCATCAATTGGCATAGGTTGCATGTCCTTCTAGTTTGCCTATTTTCTACATTCTGATACTTTTCTTCACACCTTCTCACGTTTATATTAGCTTCTCTGAGAAAGTCCTCTTCCCTTGATTGCTAATGATCCTGACCGCCATTCCATAACAAATGACATATTTTGGGAAAGATCTTCAAGTGACAAGGAAGTATCAGCATCTGGAATTTATATTGTTGTGCGTCAATTTTCTATGGAAGGACATTGATGACAACTTTCTTTTATGCTGTTGTTTATCTCCCTGGTTTCTAAAGTGCAGAATTGTGAAGTCCCTTTTAACAACGGAACAGGATAGGTAGTGGTTTAAGTTGCTGGATGCTATCATATGATAAAAGAGCATATGAAAGTCCCAGAAAATACTTAAAAAGGACCAAGATGAAGCAGAATGAACAAGATTATTTCCTGTAATAAAATTGTGTACTAAAATAATGTTACTCATAAATGTCAACTTGCAAAAATATGCTTATTAATAATTCCTTAATGGCCTAGTGGTTAAGATTCTGGGTTCATTGACAGAAAGATTCTGCCCCCGGCTCCTGCCAACCAATTGAATTGGAGTGGAATGTTGTTTTAATTATACACATTTATATATTTTTTTCTTTTTTTAAGAATACAGTGTGTATTTTAAGAATGTACCAAGCAGAATCCGAATGGAAGCTATGTATTATATTGAATGTTACAACTTTAGGGAAAAAATATAAAGGCGTCATACTCCAATCAGTAACTACAGGAGAAATTTTGTCTAATGAGAAAAGATAATAGATAATTGAAACAGGACTGAAAATATAAATACAATGATTTGAATTGAGATGAGATAATTAAAATAAAATGGCGACAATTAAAAGAGGGGAGAAGCTATGCAGAAAATGTAAAATAATAATAAGATATGGAATAGAATATAAAAATGAGCATGAACCTGAATTTGTGTCTATATGAAGAAATGTAGCCCGGGATTATGCTGCTTTCAAAAAAGATGTTTTATTTATATTTGTGAAAACTCAAATAAAATTTACAAAAAAAAAAAAAAGAATGAGGTGAGGTCCATGGTAGACAGTTTGAAGTTAAAGCTGTGAGCGGTAGAGGCTGTAACTTCCCTGCTTTTTCAGAGAGTAAAAGGAAACGAATGGAAAAGTACTTTCAGTCCTGTAAGATACTGTTCATGTAACTTGACAACCAAGATGGAAGTAGTACTTCTGGTTGTGTGTTTTGTCTGGATTACCTCTTGGGATCACCAATAATAGACTGACACATTTTGGAAAATGGCAATGGCAAATAACTTCCATATACTTGCTGAGAAAACTATAAATTTTCTCAGTCTGGGTGAACTATCTTAGAGCACTCAATAATAGGAGATAGAGCAATAGGGTTGGAAGATGATGAAACATTTATAAGAAGAAAAGCAGTTTCAAAGAAGGTCAAGAACCAACAAAGGAGAATATTTGCAGCTCAGGGTTGAAATGGGTGTGTGTGTGTGCTTGGTGCTCTTGGAGCTTGCTTGTTTTCTAGTAAGGAGTGCTGTTTGCTGTCATTTTATATTTTGGTGACTTACCTGTCTGTGTGGGTAAGGATGGTCTTAGAAATTCTTTGGTTGGGCTGTTTACTGAAGGCTTTTGGGCAACCATCAATAGACACGTAGGCATTAGCAATGTTTATAGACTACGCAAAAGAGACAATCAAGCAGCCCAAAAGAGAGCAAAAAGACTCCAGCCACCTCTCCACCAGGAATCAGCAACCTAATCAGTTAATCCATGGTTAACATCAGACCAACAGTCAAGTAAACAACACCCCATCAAGAAACTGCCAAAGAGTCACCAGTAAACATAAAACCCATAATGTCGGGCTACTATGTGTCTTAAAAACCCCAAATACGTTGAATTTGGTCATGAATTGCCTGTTGGTGATCAATGTAACTATTCTTTATCATTTTCTACAGAGAACTTTGAGAGGATATTTTCTCCTGATTTCTAGCTAGATGGGAGATAATTCCCTGCTTATGTTGCCACCAGAAAGAAGGTCCCAAAGAGATGTGTGCAATAAAATGGAAGGGTATCAGATTTGGCTTTAAGATTGGATAATCCCTGGACCAATTCCAATTCTGTGATGCCATTTAAGTGATTATCTGGATTTATGCAGCACATCTCTGGTACTCCTTAGAAAAAGAGTTTGAGAAAGTCTTCCATTAGGTTAGGACTTTACTGTGGATACAACCTCTGCCTTTTAGCTTCAATTTGAACATGGATGATGGAGTAATTGTGCATGACGCAATGGAAGCTCAATACTTCCTTGTACATCATATAACAATAATAATCATTGAGTTTGCGCAATGAAGCTTGTAGATTAAGATATTAAAACGTGGCAGTGGAGCTGAATAAAGTCTTTTAGGAGAACAGCAAGGAGCAAAAGAGCTGAAGAGCATCGAGAAGATGCGTCTCCTTTTAATCTTTGCATTGACCTTTACGCTTTCTACACAGACGGTAAGGCAAATTTTTGTGGCCTACTATAGCCTTGTAGCTGGGGTGCTTGCAGGTGAAGTGAGTAAGCATATCGAGCTTGTCCCCATGGTTTAATTTGCACATTTCTTCATGAAGGGGTTTAAAAATACAGCAGAGAGCCTTGAGTACTTAAATTTGAGTAAAACTTTGAGTTTTAATCAACAAGAATTCAAGTGTATCAGAAGTTCTGAATTCAGGTTGGTATCCTGTTTTCTGAATTGGAATTCTCAGTGTTCATATACACATGAGAGTAAGAGATAACCTCTTGTGGAACCTCTTGTTGGATCTACTGAGTTGGACCAATGCAGAAGGCTGAACATTTCTTTAATTGAAAAGAAATTTTAATTATGCAAGGTATAGAAAGAGTTTTTGACATGAATAAAAATAAGGTAAAGGTTCCCCTGCAGGTTTCACTCTGCTAGTCATGATTGACCTTAGGGGGCAATGCTCATCTCTGTTTCTTAAGCCAAAGTGTCAGTGTTGTGACCAGAATGACTTTACTCTGCAGCACAGAGCATACAGCAAAACACAGAAGGTTATTACCTTCCCACATGCTTATATGTGGTACCTGTTCATCTACTTGCATTTACATACCATTGAACTGCTAGGTTGGCAGCAGCTGGGATAAGTTATGTCTTGTGGCACTTGGATCTCAGACTGCTGAGCTATGGACCTTTAATAGTTTAAAACTCAGCATCTCAACCACTTAGCTGCTGCATCCCCTACAGAGCATAAATATAAATAAGGGATAGAGCAAAATTCACAGGTTCATTGTCTCCTAAGATACCTATATATGTGCTTGGCTACATCAACAAAAATTTTAAGCCAATGCTTGGAAGAAGAGCTGGAGTGTTGTGGGAGGCCATATTCCTTCTTATGGTTTTTATCCTGCAGTGACTCTGATTGGCATAGTTGTTGATAGGAATAGGATGTAGCAGAGATAGAAATATCTGTTGTGATGAAAGTTATTTCACAAGGAACACATCTCCTACATTTTTAGGCCAGGCCACATCTGAATGAAGGCATACAAGATGTTTGTATCAGAAAGGTTTTCTATTACAGGCATATTTTAAGAAGAAAGAAGGGAAAGCTGAAATTGCCCAAGATATCTATCTGAGACTGAGCAAGCAAATAAATCACATACATTCTTTCTATTGCATTTTCCTTTTTAGCAAAAAAAAATTTCTCTCGGGTTTGCAAATGGGTAAATGACTATGAGAAAACTAGTAATTTGAAACTTCATACCTAAGATAAGGAAATTTTCTTGTTTTCTTTTTCAGGATAACACGTATAATGATGATGCAGAAACTACAGTAAGTAAATTACATCATGCTAGATGTCCTGATATTTTGCCCCTTTGAGGGCATGTATATACTCCTTTTGTCTAAAAAGAGTTCATAGTCTCATTTAGGTTCAGAGAAAAATGTCGGTGTAAATCAACCAGTCCAGAATAATCTGTAACAAGTTCCTGTATGGTAAAGTTGATAAATTGGTAGTCCATGAAGATAA